AGAAAGTTTATGTGAAGAGAAAGATGATTGAAAACTTGAGCCTTATCTTGCTTTTGCAAGTGACAAGTTATACCTATGTGTGACTATTAGGAGAATATCAAGAATGAGGTTTTTTTAAGACTTTAGATAAGGTACATATGGAAGAAAAATCTTGGAAGCAGAACTGTTATGCTATTTTCCCCCTTAGTTCTGTCATTACAAACCCAAATTCTTTTAATGCTGTAGTTTTCCTGCTTCAGAATTTTCCTTTGAACGACTAATTCATGAATGAAACTTCTATATCAGTACATTTGATAGATTTAGGACACTTGTCCTAAAAATAGAACAGTGATAAGCAGTTGAAAAGAGCACCAAGTATAAAAATGTCCTATTGATACATTTTAATGAAGGACAACATATCTAAAGGAATACTTAGAATGCAACAATAATGAGTTAAAAAGGGTACTGTTTCGTATAAGCGTAGCTTGTTGGCTTAGTACACAATTCAAGAATCTAGTTCACAGTTGGATTGCTGTTACCTCTAGGGGACCCCTAGAAGTTTCTTCTTTTAAGTCAATATTGATAAGGGCAGCTTTAACTTTTAGTTCTGTTACAGAAATGAAAGTAAATAACTTATTCCTAGTTTAACTAGTGTAAGCAATGCAAGGATCCATTAGTTTCTACAGTTAGTCCATGCTTGCAATATTGTAATCTAGTATTCTTGCCAAGACCTACTGACAACATATATTATTAATGTATGAAATGAACTAATGTGAGATGTGACTGAGTTAAACACTGTATTGAGTTTCAAAAAAGAAAAATTATATGAAAATTTTCAAATAAAAGGTTTGAGGAGAGGCAGGTGGTATCTGTAGCTACACACCTAAAAGGACTGATACTGACTTTTCAGGTGCGTTAAGTTTAAGGGCATTGTGAGCAGATGTACCAAGTCTCTGCTTCCTAAATCTTAGTTCTTCTCATCAGCAACACCCAGCACCAGGTAAGCTTCATGTCTGTACCAGTTCTCCTGATTCCATTTCCACTTGCAATACTTTAGCTATGATGGGACCTAATGGAAGTACAGCTCTATTTAGTGATTTGAAATAAAATTATATACCTGGAAACTGGCAGCCAGTTTAACATGTTAAAGTAGCTCCTTTCCCTCTTTATCTTAAATTTAAGTGCTTGTTTGTAGGCCTTGGTCATGTCTTAAATTCTTTAGTGGGGTTAATGGTTACAGCAGAGAAATATTATCTCTAGTCTTGTTCATGTTACAAGTCTAATCTGTCTATAGCTTTATAGGATTATGGGTGGGATTGGAAGGAAATCATTACAGAAACCTCAGCAACAGTGGAAGATTTAGTTAGTGCCTTCTAACTAGTTGGGGTGAGTCAGATGCACTAGACAGAGCTTTTCTACGGAAGCCTGTGTTCAGGTTCACTATCTTACCAGTTTCAAGTGTGTGTTCAAGAAGCTTAATCCTACAATATTTTTCTTGTGGTCTTTGTAGAGTAAGTGGCTGTCTAGCTACTCACTTGGCAATATACCCTGAAGAACCCATCACAGTTGTGGCAATCCTGGATTATGCCCTGTTATACTTGTGGAAAATTAAGGGTTTATAGCAGCTGAATGTAAAATAAATTCTTTCCTATGTTTTTCCCTTGTCCTTCTCTGTACAGTGTTCACTTTATTCAACTGCTGTCTAGATCTCATGAGTTTTATCAGTTACTCTGCTCTTAAAATCATGCAGCTTGTTTGGACTCACTAGATATTTTAAAATAATGAAAAGATTTGCGTGTCCATCTACATTTTTCTCCCTCGGAAATCATACTGTGAGAATTGTGACCTTCATATAAACCTTGTTTGCTGCCTTTACATCTCTTCCAGAAGTGCCTGCAGTTGCTCTGGCTTTGCACCAGATGCCAGATAGCTTAAAGGGGTGTAGCCTTTGTAACTATATCATTTTGCAGTATTCGTCTAATCCATATTTAACAGGAATTTAATGTGTCCTGCACAAGATGAAAGGATTTATCTCATACTTTGTCATTACTTTGAGATAGTAACCTTGAGGGAGGAGGAGAAATTTAATGGACTTTATTTGCTTCTGATTCTTGCTATGGAAATGTTAGCCCTTCCTGTAGGGGTAAGAACCACTGCTTAACGGAGCAGGCCCTGGGAGTGGTTGTGAAGGGCTCCAAAATTGCTTCAGTCATATTGTCTTACACCAATAGGAGTGATTTAAAACTGAAGAGAAATTTGTGGCAAACCAGCAGACCTATCCTGCTTGAAGCAGAGAAGGGCAGCAGAAAGCAGAGAGGGTAGGAAGGTGCTCCTATATGGGCAGATGGATTTCTCTTCCCTCCCTTGTCCCAAGTCTAATTCTTCCCCCACAAATTAATTTTGTAATGAATGTTTGTGTGGGAACATAAATGCACATTCATATTAGCTTTGCAAAATATACTTAAATTAAGGGCTCCTGTATATTCTCTATTTTAAAGAGAGATTTTTTCAACCAGACACATAACCCAATGAATGTTCGCTTTTAATGCAGTCTAGCAGCAAATGGTCTGAAACAGCTCATGGACTCACTATCTCTTTTGAAATCCAGAATTATACTAACCAGCAGAAGTTAAGAATATGAGGTGAGCAATTTGTTTTATGACAAGCAGGGAAAGAAATTTGTTTTCAATTAGCCTGCCAACACTATGAGATTAAGGTTATTTAGGGATATAACGCCATTTGGGTTTTAATGGTGTTAAAAATGTCATTGTTTTATACCACAAAAAAAAATAGAACAGAGTAGTTTTAGGCTGAACTTAGTAGGCAAAGATCATGGGAACAGTCGCAGTAAAAGCACTGAGGTCAGCTGAGTTGGTTTGCGTTTATATGCAAGTACATCACATGGTAGTCTTTCCATTGTCTTTTATGACTGGCGCAGTGAAGATTTCAGCTGTTTTGTACATATATTGAATATTCACTTCTAGGAAAAGATGGAATTTATTCTAAGAATTACTCGATTTCCTATTACAAAGCCATATGTATATAACTTAAACTGTACAAGAAATATGTTTTCATATTTTTTTTGCATAGTGCTTTATGAAAACTGAAAGAAATAAGATGAATGAATGTTATGCTGGCTTCTATATATGCTGCTCCTAGAACACAGTTGTCATCAGAAATTACTATTGTTGATTGCTTTTGACTTCGCAGTATGTTGAAGACCTCAGCCTAAGAACTGGTATGAAAACAAACAACACACCCCTCCACCTTTTATAAGCCTGTACACAGCTGTAAATGTTTTTAATCCTCTGCAGCTTTTCTTGACTGTCCATGTACATGTGTTCTTCTGAAACTGCACTTAACTTCCCTTTTGTTCTGTTTCCCCACTTTTGCCTGCCTTGTGGCACTGCGCAAAGCCTGCCTGGCCTGGTAGTGCTGCATAATCATTCTCTGGAGCAACTTCCACAGAGGTGGAAGCCTCTGCTCAGCTCACAGGACTGTCCTCCCCCTTGCGTACATGGTGAGGGGCCCTTTGTGGGCCTCCTTGGATGGGCTCATAACACCTTCTAACTTGTTTGCTGTCTTCCCTACCCCCAGTCTTCTTGGCACACCCTGCCTTTGAACTTTTCCCTCAACCCACCTTCCCCCTGATGTTTTAGAGACAGTTTAGTGCCATTGTTGTGTGTGTGTGTGTGTGTGTAAGTGTCCATGGTTGTTCGATACTTGCATTTAGACTTTTATTAATATACTACTCTTATTAAAGAATGCCTTGCATACTTTATATCTGTACTTTTAGAAACTCGTATCTTCATATCTCTCTAAATATGTACTGATGACAATTTATATGTACTTAGCATAAGCAGATTTTTGTATATTTACTTAGGTGCACATATGTGCATCTTTATACTTCTAAGCACTTCCTAGTCCTATGGGAAAATTGTCAGTATGTTTTGAGTTTGCATGGGCATGGCTTTAAAAAATGCCAACTAGACACTTGCAGAGCAGCATGAAAACACAAGGTGTAGGGGTGTGGGACTTCCCCTGAAAGTCAGGACCGGGATACTGGTCACCTCCCTGAATGGGAGGTGGTTGCCCCAGTGCTGCTGGTTGTTGCAGGGAAGCTGTATGGGTTCCACCTTTGCTCTTGAGTGAAATGTTTACCCTGACGGTATGCAGGGCACACATGACATAGGGCTTACACAGCCCCCTCAGTGCAAGCAGTACTCTTGCATTTTCCCATTGAATTTAAACAGATAAGAATAAAAAAATTGGGGTATTTTTGAGAAACACTAAGCAGAAGCTTCTAGTTTTGTGTACATCTGTATTCTGCAGCTCTTGACCTTTTAATGCAAGTTTCACTTTGCTCAGCATGTGATATTCTGCCATGTAAAAATGCCACTGAACTGTTGACCAGTGCAGAAACCATAAAGGCTGAGTTCTTGCTACAGTGACCAGTGACTTAATACCTTAACATATCAGGTAAAAGTCATAAAGAATTAACTTTCCTATTTACTTAAAACAAGTATGAAGGGTTTTTTTTGACTACTGTGATTCTGTCTTTGTCAAAAATCTTGAAACATTCATTTGTGGAGTGGTGCAGGAAGACAGTGGTTACTGATTTAGGTGGGAGTGCAAATACTCCAAGCTCACTAAGAGCCTATAGAGACATGAGCAGCTCAAGAGTGTGGAATTTTTCCACCCACCCCTGTTCTTTTACAGATAGTGTGCCAAATGCTTTTTTGTAAACCTCCTGAAAGGACTGGAGGGCAATACAGGTTATCTTCCCAGTGCTTGCCTCTTGCTCCAAGGCCAATATTATGGGTAACAGACTTTTTCATGTTCTAGAGACTGCTGTTTCCAGCCTTTAACATCTCCCATTTCCATATGAGATGCTTTTCCTGTAGTCACTTTGTAGGACTGGTAAGTCCCACCAACTCATTAAAGGTATCCAAAGCGTTTTCCTGCAGTTCAAATGAGTTCATGTAAAGGGAAAAAAAACAAACAACCCAAAACACTACTCATGCTTGCTAAAGTGAGCTTCATCATTCTTTTGTCAGAAGAGCTTAAACAAATCACCTTCCTGCTACTTGTGTGTCCTGCAAAATGAAAGTGCAACTCTATGTACACATAAAAGCAAGATATGTAAGGAGGAAATTAGAGCTCCAAAACAGCTACAGATAGTACTGTATAGTCATGTTTTCAGTTAGTTGAAGCAGTAGTATGATGGGCTGCTATGTCAGACCTCCTTTTCAGTTTCTCATGAGATTGCTGCGCCTGCATCTTCTCAACAAAATCACTGCAACTAGCTTCTAGGTCTTCAGGGAGATGTTAATAGCACACATAATAACATTGTGATTTTAGTTGCTTTGTTTGCTCCTTTGATGGTGTTTTTTGAGCCTTCTACTCCTGCAGAAATTAATGAGAATGAGATGCTCAAAACCTTGACAACACAGTTGAAAGAATGCTTTGCTATCCCTAAAGCAGGTTTGTGAATAAGCCATTTTCTTTCACTTTCCTCTACATCCTACTCTTTTCTAAGGGCAAATCCACAACTTTATTGGTAATAAGACATGAAACAATGAAATATGCTTGCTCTTGTCACAGCAGTCATGCAAGAACTTGTCTTGCATATATGATTCCTGATATTTAGATTTGTTCTGCATGTATGCTCTTAGAGCCATTTTAAATAACTTTTTTTAAGGTTTATAAAAATATATATTTAAATAATGACACTTCATATTTTAGATTATAATGAAGTAAAATCCCTTTTCACATACAAAGAATGGGCTGCTTCACATATGAGAGGAAGCAGCCCAATTATTCTTCTAGGCAAGAACCATGTGGTTTCCTTCTGAAGACCTGGGTGAATTTGTGCGACTTTCAGCCATGACTTATAAGCTACTTTTGACCTTTCAGTTGCAGGAGTCAAACTGGCTTGCTACCTGTTTGCTACCTGTTATATTGTCTAGTGTTTTCTATACTTACTAATATCAAATTCTGCTGGATGAAAGAGAAACAGTTTTATGCCATTTTTTTTTAAGCTAACTTGTTAGCTTTTTAAGCTAACTTGTAATTCTGTGTGTGCTTTCATTATCAGTTGAATAATGAGACTGGAGGGAAAGTAATGAGAGGGCGAGTATTTTATCCTAGATGTTTCTACACATCTGAAGCACAGGCTCTCCAAACTGAGAGATGTATATGAGATGGAGATCCCTCAGTGATAATTAAGATGCTTTCCCCAAATTAAGAATGTTTCTAGGCTTAGTGATATGCCTGTCTGCTTATGCCTAATTTTACAATATTTTTGCTTACAGTGTTTTCTGCGTACATTATGTAGAAATTATATTCTTCTTATCCTAGAAACACAGCTTTGCTTAGAGAACTGGGTTTTACGCGCTGAAAATTCTGACATCTAATAAATGACACCTGATTGGAAATGAGAGATGATGTTTGTCTGAGACCAGTCCCTAAAGACTCAAAAGTGTAAGCTGGAAAGTCACTAAGACTTTTAAAATAATAATAATAAAAAAGAAGGTATTTAGAGAATGCCATGCAGTGTTGCTGTGTAACATGAGATCAATTACTAAATAGGTACTAGCACATCTGTTGCAATGGTGAAGCCACTATACAGTCTGTTCTCTAGAACAGAGGAAATCAACCTTTAGGTTGTGGTTTGACACTTGTGCATGTACAGAAATGTTTGCACTATTATGCGCTCACTTACTGGAGCTTGAGGCTGATCTCCTATTAGACTGTTGTCATTATTTTATGATACTGCAAGCCTCTTTCAGCTTCAAAATGCTGCTTTTGTATATTTTTTTCCACATGAGCTTTGTGCTCCTGAGATAATTTATATGAAACTACAGATACAAGCACATCCCAGTGACTTGAGTTTTAACGCTGTGATGAGATTAGATTAACTTTGCACAATTCTGAGTCTCATTATGAACCCTGTCAGAAAGCTGGATTCATGTTGTGCCATTTTCTATCCTCATTACCGTTTTTGTCACAAGAATGAAATTTTTCATCTGTCATACAAGCTGGAAAAGACAGCAGCCTGCAACTCTATTACGATGGCCTTTGTAGTGCTGTGCGGTTTGACAGGCTGTGCCTTTCTCCTTTGTTCTTTTTAATGGTTTTTCAACCTGTGTGAGGGAGAGAAGGGATGGATATCCATCTCAAGGTGTAATACATGATTAATAGTCCTGCCGATGTCCAGAAGACTGCAGCTTTCCAAACTAGCTGGCTGCAGAGAGTGGCAAATATTAGAAACATTACTGCTGCTAACTGAGCCCCTTTTTCATTTGCTTGTGCTCCGAGAATCAAGATGAGGCTAAAAGTATTAAAGTATCTAATTTATACCTGTGTTTCCACAAATTCATGATTGCTTTGCCTTGCTAGTATTACATGTCCCAAGTGATAGAGTTCCTCTGTAAAACAGATACAACAAACCGTCAGTGTTTTACAATATTTAACCTAAATTTTCCTACTCTTAATTTCTTATCATTATCATAGTTAAATACCTGCAAATTACCTTGTTTTATCAAATTCCTGTCCTTTTCTGTTTATGTCAGTAGACCATAGAAATATAGCTGTCCTCTAATTATTCCTCACACACTCTGTAATGAAAATTTCAACAAAGGTTTTTAAATGGATATCCTTCATTTTTATATCTCATATTTGTAATATCTCCTGTACTTTTCTATTAAGAAGAGAAAATAATTCACAGTTCTGTGTCTGTATGTTCCCTGTGGAGATGTCTTCATCAAACTACCTGCATGAAGAGGGTGTGTGACAGTACTGCTTCTGTAAGAGTCTGTTAGCAGGACAATGCTAGGATGCTGCATACTGAAGTTAATAAATTTTATGCCTGAAAAACCTGCTCAAGGGCAGAAGCCTAGAGGCTTCAGTTATAACCATTTGTATTAATGCCCAGCAGTGTTCTTATAAGAAAAGGGCTGGAACCATGATGTGTGCCTCTTTTGGAGACAATATTTTTGGCAGAGATTTCTTGTGATGCACCATTGTAAAAAATAATATATGACAGTTCCTTGCATCATTTTTCCTTCAGAAATGTATTGACTAACTAAATGACACTTTACGTAATTGCTCGTCCCTTCCAGAATCCACTGTAAGAATAAACTCAGTTTTCTTGCTTTTAAATGTAGCAGGTGTACTTGCTTGTTGAATAAACATGTCTAACAGCAACTCTACAGCAAACGTGAAAATATATGAAAAATTTCCATAGCGCTAAATCCTTTCCTAAAGGGCTTTTACATAAACCAGGGGGTTATAAAATGTGTATTTCACTGTTCCTAAATGTTAAAGAAGTGCACTTTTACATGAAGACATCTGGAATGTAAAGTTCAAGTAAATCACTGGAGACTCCACCTCAGATGCAATCTATTTCAACGTGACCTTACATCAGTAAGCCCTGAACCTTGCCTGCTGGCAAGCAAGGGCCCACTCTAGCCATCTCTTATCCTTTCATAGAACTGTGTAGCAGGTTTCAATAGTGATTTTTTTTTTCTTTTTAATTAATGGAATGCCATTTTTTTTCTTAAATACCCTGAAGGCTTGCAGCATCATTTGGTATGTCTTTGTCCTTCTCATTGCACAAGAGAATCTAGGTAATTAAAATTTTTTCAATGCTTGTCTTAATTCAGTAGATCATATTACAGTAAATACAGAGACATAATACCAAAAAAAGGAACATCGCTTAATAGTGAAATTTCATCCCAACATTAAGAACAATTAAGCTAACACCACCTGCACTTAAAGAAAGCAAACCAGACTCTACTACTTCTGTAATATACCTTATTTACTCTTTGGCATGCCCTATTTAAATCATGAACTTGAGACAGTGCAATGTGCTTAAAGTAATTATTTTGTTCCATTTTATTTTAATGGGCAATGTCTTCTAAAAACCCTTATTGCTTTGTTTATTTCAAACACGCTATGCATAAAACAGTCAGTAAAAGCTGAATCCATGAAGCCAATCAGGTTATACCACAATGGCTTTTGGTCCATTTTCCACGTAGGTACCCTTGAACTATTAACCTTTAATTTTGCTTGATTGTTCAGTAGGTGAAAAGGTCTCACAAAGGACTAATCCCTGCTGTGTAGTAGCTAAAATGGCAAAGCAATTATAAATACATGTTTAAAATTGGAGAATATATAGGTGTATAGCAGGTTGTGAGGTGGGGGAAAGGAGAAAAAGGTACGGTTAGTAATAGTTTGTCCAAGTGCCTTGAGGCACTTGTAGAAAGAAATATTGGTTCTTTTAGTATCTCTTCCCCCACAACAAAATAAAAACTAATTGCAGTGTACAGTTTTCATTTATATTTGAGATACTATGTGTTGTATTTTGGACATGTCAGGACTTTGATACTTTTTTTTTGCTTTTCCTGAGCCCCGTTGTCAGTCTGTAAAGTGCCCATGGAACAGGTGCTCTAAGCACCGTGGCACTTAAAGCCTTGTTATCCTCATAATTTCCCTTTAGGAAAGGATGCCTTTATTTGGAAGAGTAACAGAAACATCATAACAAACAGAAAGGTAAAATCAAGACAATGCAGCAGGAAGTAATTAGGTGGCAAAACAAGAGGGTAGGTGGCAAAAGAAGAAGGCAGCTTTATCTTCTGAGGAAGGCAAGTAGTCCTATATGAATTTTGTTTATTTTTATAGGGAAGATGTGTATTACTAAGAACTCTCTTGTCTATCCATTGGGGGAAATGTTGAAGTATCAATCACATATGTTACTGGCCTACGAGTTTTGTCCTTTGTTTCTCCAGCTTCCTATGGCTGTTTCTCTCCTTTAGCCAATGACAGATTTCATGATGCGGAGAACCCTTAGGTAAGAAGAGAATTGATCTTTGCAGCCTCAGATTTTTCTGGGAGGATGAGGTGGGAGTGGGGAGTACACTATTTTCCTTTTTTTGTTTTATCCAACTCCTGTTTTGCTGTGAGACTGTGTTACGAAAAAGTGGTGCAGACTCAGATTTCCCTAGGTTATAAAACAAAGTACAAAACAAGGCTACAAAATAGAAATGAAACCTCATTTTGAATCAGCTCTGAGTAGTGTGTGTCTGAAGAAATATCAACAGTCTGTGCTGGTAGTCAGGCATGTTCTTGTAGTCAGCTCCTATACTTCAGAGAATCAGAATACTGTGAAACTTCCAGCTTTTAAATCCATCCATGAAAGTCTTTGGTTTTGGGAATTCTTAGGAGGACAGCAGAATATTCAAGTATATTCTTGGTAAGTGGACATGGTACTTAACTGAAAATCAGTTTTAGAAAAGGATGATGTAGGTAAATGTCTGTGCGGATTGAAAGGTCTGCTTTTTTTTTTTTTTTAAGCTATTGCCTTTGGTCCTCAGAAGTAACGTTACTGCAATAAATAAAAATTGCTGAACTCCTATGTTATGCATGGTTAAAAGCGAACCGATTTTGCTTACTTGCCTCCCCTGTTGAGTCATTATTTGTCATGATTCAGAAATTTTGTGTCGATATTAAACTAAGTGCCCACATTACTGATTTTTTTTCCTTTTTTTTTTTTTGCTTGACTGAAATTTTAGCTACTGCATTAAGAATTGGGTTTTGCCTTTCTTAATTCTCAAATACAAATACCTTTGTCTAACACAAACTTCATGGAAAATGTTAGAGCAGAATCAGGCCCTCTGAGAATATACCTTCAGACTTTTTGAGAATACCCTGCATGCCGTTTCACAGGTATAATGAACTCATGGCTACTTAGAGTCAGTGAATACATAATTCTCTTTGATTTGCTAAATATAAACTAGTAAAATATCCTCTGGTTGTAAAATCTGTTTAAATTGTGCAAGGCTCATGATGGTAATGATAAAAGCCCTTACTGGAACATCCATTGTCAAAACATGTAACGCTTGATTTGGACACTATTGTCTAAAGCTCTTCAGTGGTTTCTTGGTTAATTATTTGCCATCAGAGATTTCTAAGCCAATAAAGCAAGACATATACATCTAAATCATAGAATAGTTAGGGTCGGAAAGGACCTTAAGATCATCTAGTTCTGACCCCCTGCCATTGGCAGGGACACCTCACACTAAACCATGTCACTCAAGGCCCTGCTCAACCTATCTAAATATCTTCTCATTTCTGAAAACTGAGTTTTCTAACAACCTTTTTTTTTCAGGTTTTATAGCTTTTGATTTTTCTTTTTCCTTTCCTAATGAAGAGCAGAGTTTGAAAAAGTATGTGATTTAGGTTAACAAGGTGTCCTAGTTTCAGCTGGGATGTGAAAGAAATGACATGTGAAAGAAATATTTTTGTAATTCCCATCCATTTAACACATAAAGGATTTGTGCTGGCTCCAGCTTAAAGAATCATTGCTTTTGGGAGCAGGCTGCAGTTTTTCTTTCTGGTTTCACTCCATGTTCCCCAAGACATGGGACATTTGTTTTCCCCTTTGAAATTCTTCTAGAAGAACAAAATTGGAACATGTTCAGCTCTTTGCTTGTTGGCTTTTGAAAGTGAAAATGTGATCCTGTATGTCAGCATGTAGAGGACAAAAGCAGCAGTGTGGAGGCAGTGAACTGCATTTAACCACATTTTTCAAATGATGCCAAATCTTGTCATAATCCCAAATCTTTTAGAGGAAATATTATCTTTGGTTGGTGTAACATGATGGTAGTTTAGATACTGATAGTGAAAAATTGGTGAAATCAATCGTGGAAGAAAAATTTCCATAGTGTAATACTTGTGATTGTCAGAGTATATAAGCCAAGAGGTAACAACCTGAGCTAACAAATAGTTCTCATACTCAGGGGTGATGTTTTTTTTTTTTTGAATAGTAAGACAGTAATCATTTTGGACAGAGAAAACATATGCAAAGGCTTTGCAAATGGTGGGTCTCACCTTTGCCAAAGGCAGGCTCATATGAGACGCTGAATGGTTGGGTGGACAAAAGAAAGGAAGAGGAGTGTCTGAAGAATCAGGCTGGAAGGAGGGGAGCAGTTAAAGGTTAAAGCATGTTAAGCATTTGGGGGAAAAGTCTTGGTCCTGCTGCTCTTGTGGCACCATCAGTGTCAGTGGTGTGAGTTTATCCCCTTCAATAGTTGAGACATTCATAACTGAATCCAGAAGATGTTCCTTGTGTCAAGTTA